TCGGCGGGGACGGCTCTCAGCCGGTGCCAGCCCTCGCTCCCACCTCCCCTGGGCTCGCTCCCTCGCTGGCCCCATGGACCGGCCACGGTGGGGCTGCTCCCAGGGCTCTGACTTCCCCTGCGGCCGTCCCCAGGCCGGGCAGGAGCATCGCTCCCCCCTGCCCCTTCCACCCCCAGCTCTCTCTCTATTCCTGCACTTGCTGGACGCCACGGCCCGGCTCTCTGGCAAGTCCCTTGTAGCAGGGCGAGGGCAGGGGAAAGCGCTCTCCCCCCTCACCTGCCTCCCTCCTTTGCCAGCCCGGAGGAGCGGGTGTGGGGAGGGACGTGCACTGCCCCGCAGCAATCTACATTCAGAGGGAGGAGGAGGAGGAAGAGGAGGACGATCCCTTCAAACCGGGCACAGCCCTGGGCCTGACACACCGAGACCAGCCTCAGCTCCCAGCAGCTGATGTCCAGGGAGAAAGGGGCTCGGGGGCTCACGCGAGGCCTCCCGGCCTCTGCCTCTTCTTCCTGGATCCCTCACCACGACCGGGACAAGCTCTTCCCCGGGGAAGCGGGGACAGGATAGGGATGCTGCAGGGAAGCTCCGTCCCGTTCGGCAGCCTGCCTCTTCCCGGGGCCTGAGCATGCTGGAGACAGGGGCACGGAGCCTCGACCCTTGCTCTGGCTGGGGAAACCTTATATTAGTGACACATCTACACACACGCACGCACTCACACATGCAAAAATAAGTCTGTTTATTCTCTTCAAAGTGATCTAGAGGACCCTGCAGGGCTGGGACACCTTCTAGCCAGTACTCCCCCCGGCTGCCTGGATCTCCCCAGTGCTGGGAGCTGTTGGCTGAAGTGCTGCATTGGTCTCAGCGCCTTTAAAACACAATGGAACAGTAAATAAGAGGGGCTACGATAAAAGGAGCTGGCGGCACGAGGGAGAAAGCTCCGTGGAGCGGGGCGCTCGCCTGGGAGGCGGAGGGGCTGCCCCCCACCCCGGTGACGGTGCTCGGGAGCGGAGTGTAGTGGATGTGGCGGTGAAGGCGCAGCCGTCCTGGCGATGGGGGGACTCGGCGGCGGGTCACTTGCGGCTCAGCAGGGATCCCAGCAGAAGCACTCCTGCCACCGTCGCCCCGGTCAGGAGCCATTTGTTGAAGGTCTCCTGGCCCTTCCTCACCTCGGCAGCAGCATCATTCCCATAGAGGTCCACAAACCGCTCCTGTGGGAGGAGAGGAGCAGTGAGCAGAGGGGTGGGAACAGAGCAGAGACCCTCTCTGCTGCTTTCTGGGGCTCCTTCCTCCTCCACGGAGCGGTCCAGAGCAGAAGACGCAGCGGGATGGGGCAGGAAGGCTGCTGGGCTCCTGCCGGCAGGAAAGCAGCGGTGGGGACTGGGCGGATGACAGATGCCTTGTGCTTCCTTGCTCTGAATCATGCACAGAGGGCGATGGGGGAAGCATAGGACCAGTCATGAGAGAAGTGGATGCCAGAAAGGATTTGCAAGGAGAATACCATGCGGGCAGGGCAGGAGATGCATCACGTGCTCTAGGCTCTCTAAAATTAGCATCGAAGTGTGATAGAAATCATTGCAGCAGGAAAACGCTGGGCTTTTTTCCACGGCCGAGGCCTGGGGGAGCAGCAGCAGCAGGGTTGGTGCCCACGGTTGCGGCAGGAGCCCACACCGCGCGTCCCCCTGCCGCTTTTGCGTCCAAAGCGGAACCTCCCACCTCCCTCTCCCGACTGCCGCATCCTGGCAAGACAAGCACTCCCCTGTCCTGGCCATCGCAGGTTACTCTGCAGCACAGTCTGGATTTCGCGAATCCCTGTGGCAAAGGCAGACACTCTGGGTCGCAAAACTCCTGCCTTCCCCCGGGCTTCAGGAGAGCGGGCCAAGCACGAGGCCCAGCCAGGAATGTAGTCACTCCGGCCCGGCTCGTCCGAGCCGGCCGCCTCCAGTCCTTCATCTCCAGCAACAGATTTCAACAGAGCCACTGCACAGCAAACAGCCACAGCCCCTCTCCCTCTGAGGGACACGTGTGACAGGGCTGGGGACAGACGGCCATGGCCCAGACTGGGGGAGATGGAGGGCAGAGAGAGAGAGAGAGAAGACCACCAGAGCTGAACTGCTCCCGAAAACAGGCTGAGAGAGCACGTCTGCCCCCTGCGCCCATGCAGCAACCCCCTGGCACGACGCCACCCCTCCTGCTCCCCTGGGCACCCAGGGACCTCAGAGCACTGTGAGGATAGCTGCTCGGGTCCCCGGGCCACACGCACTGCAGGAAAGGAGGGGTCCACGGGCAGGTAACATGAAGCAGTGAACTTTACGCCCCAGCAGCTCCCAGCTTTATCAGGGCCGAGCAGGAGCACGGGGGCTAGAGCGAGCTGGAGCTGCGAGCTCCAGGCTCAGGGATCACCGGGCAGCTCGGCGTCAGCAGGGGCTCGACGCTGTCGCACCTCGAGCCCATCTTCCCAGCAAGGTCCCATGTTCCCTGATAAGCGAATGCAGTTCCAGTAACTCGGCTGCTCTGGGAAAGCAGAGATAAGCCCAGCGGAGGCTGTGCTTGTGTCACGCCTTACCATGGCCTCCCCAGAGGCAGGGGCAGCATCCCTGCCTGCCTGGGTCTGGCAGCTCTGCCTGCAAGCTGCCTCCCATGCCTGCCCACAGCCTGTGATGAGCTGCAACCACTGCCACAGGACCTGTGGGGGGTTCGGTGCCCAGATCACGGCTGGGAATCGAGAGGCTCTTTAGGCAGGTGCCCCTCCATCACTCACGGAAACATCACTCATCCAAAACAGCCCCAGCATGGTCACAGCTTGCAGGGTATCTCCTCACCTTGCCACACACACGTGATCAAGCTCCCACACAGCTTTTGACAGCAAGGCGTGCAAGACATGCACGCTCACTCCCAGGGAGCCGGGCTGCGTCCCTCTCCTCAGCCACAGGCCTCCCCCCCACAGGGGATCAGGTAACTGAACAACCACCCAGGTGAGCTGCACACCTCAGCACCTGCCTCTGCCCCACCAAAGCCCTTCTCTGCCTTCCACCAAGCACCGTCTCCACGCCTCTGCCCCACCAAAGTTCTCTGCCTTCCACCAAGCACCGTCTCCAGCATCTCGCGACTCCCCCGGCTGCCTTTCACACCCCCTCGACCTTGAGGAGCTTATCAGCAGACCCGGGGGCAGAGCACTGGGACAACAGGGACTTTGCTAACTCACCCCGGGGCACATCATTGCTGCCGCCTCACTCAGAGTCCTCTTCAGGGATGTGACAACCGTCCCCGTGACTCCCGCCACCTACACAGAGCGGCAGAAGGCAGCTCGCTTCCTATCGGGCCTGCCAGCTGGCGCGGGCTCCGCAGAGGTGTTGTATTGCATCCCGACCCCGCAGGAATGAGCAGGACGGCAGCTCACATGCAGGTGCCATCCAGGAGAAAGGTGAGGGCTGCTGCCCCCTGCCAGCCCCTCCGCCCGGCCGCTCACCCAGGGACAGCCAGCGAAACAGCCAGCGATGTGCTGCAGGAGAGGGACAGGAGGAGAGCCCAAACCCAAGGAGGGGATATTTTTAATTACGGCACAGGAAATCCCTCTGCTGATAGGTGGTGACAAGCAGCGGAGCGGTGACAGAGCACGGCAAGCATCAGCAAACCGAGAGCAGGCTGGCGGGGATGGAGGGCACAGGGGAACCGGGGCAGAAGGCATGGGCTTGTCCAAAAACGCCAGCTGTGGAGTGCCTCCACTGCCCCTACAATGTCCCTCTGTACCAGGGCTCTTGCACCCTGGGGAAGGTCCTTCCCTCGGAGGCACATCCCCGCTGCACACCCGCAGCACCTGACGCTGCGGGAGCGCTCAGCAGAAGGAAGGAGGCTGTGCCCCTCGTGACGTATCCCCCGGAAAAAGCCACTTTGCTCGGGGATTCAGTAAGGCCTGCCCCACCCAAGCCCCACACGTCTCTGCAGGCTCCTCCTGACCCATGGGAGGGGACGTGCCCACCATCCCCAGGAAGGCTGCGGAGGTGGAAGGGGCCGCCCAGTCACCCAGCCTCTCCGCAGGGCCGGCAGCGGGGCAGGCACCAGGAGAGGTCCCCCACAGCCAGGGCAGGGAGCTGGGGAGGGCTGGCAGCCAAGCCTCCGTGCTGCCTTCTCCATGGCATGTGCCGCCGAGCTTGGGGAAAGGCAGTTCCAAGAAGCACGTTTTGAAGCCCTTACTTCTAAGAAAAGGAAGCGTTTGCTGAACAAGAGATAAATGGCATACGGTGAACCGAGAGCTATCGGGTGCTACAGATGGAGAAGAGCATGACAAGAGCCCTGCACGGGCAGGGAGGGGACACAAGCCCCTCTCCTGCCCCTGGGAACAGAGCAGCAGCTGCTGGAGATGCAGCTGGGGGCCGCAGGGGACTCAGGAGCAGAGCGCTCCTTGCCCTTCCTTGGCGAAACCATCCCCAGGAGCTGCAATAGCTCAGCCCCTACACAACTGCAATCCCAGATGTTTCCCCTGGGAATGGCGATCCCAGATCAGGGGGAGTGGGAAAACAGGCAGGAGTGTCCTCCCTCCCCATCCTGGGGGCGGGTTGAAGGTTAGGGAAAGGCAGCTTGCTCAGTTCCCACACCGCCCCAGGCCTCGGCCGCTCTGCACCTGAAGCCCAGCACTCCCAGTACCGATTCTGACCTCTCTGGCCTGGTGTTTGGGATCTCAGGCTTGCCCAGACACGTCCAGATATTTCTGGCCTCCCCCAGTCACCTTTATCTGAGAGGAAATATTTGGAATTCCTGAGTCTCACAAGGACTATGGTAGCAACAGCACGTCAGTGTCTCAACCGCCCTCTCCACGTGCCCGTGGGCCTCTTCCACCCCAGAGAGGACAGGCTGTTCCACCACCGAACACCCGTCACATCCCCTTCTCCACCCCGGGTGACAGCCACGTCCGAGAGGAGGATGCTCTGGGGCAGGAGATGAGGAAACAGCGAGAGGTTATGCCTACGCAAAAGGCAATCCCCTGGCTTCGCCTCTCCTCCCCCAGCGCTGGGGAAGGACACAACATTTTCTTGCTGCAGCCTAAACCAGCGCTTGCTGGGGAGGACTTCCCTCAAGCTGCACGTGCTGCTTGCAGGAGACAGAGGACCTGGAGATCCAGACTCTACCGGTGCCCACCACCCCGGAGAGCAGGGGCAGGGAGGTTCTGCAGTGCCAAAGGCTCTCGAGACACCTGCAGCGCCCCAAACCTCAACCCACCACCGGGTGGGACACAGCAGCCATTTAAACACTGCCCAGTGACCGTACACGACACTGCAGTAGAGACAAAAGAGGAGCAGGTCTGACCCAAAGTGCTCCGTCTCGGGTGGGAGAGCAGATTAATCAGGCACGAGGTCTGGCTGAGACAGCGTTCACATCCTAGCCTGGAAACGGGAAGACCTAAAGTTTCAGCCTCTTGCTGGTACCCACCACCAGAGGTTCAGCTGGTTTCATTCACCAGCACTGTCTGAAGCAGCTCCCCCGGCTGAGTGGGAGGGAGAACAGTTGCTAGATCCCATTCAGGGCAAGCAGAGCAGAGTGGGTTCCTCTTTCAAGATAAGCCCCAAATCTGGGGGAAAGAGGATTCAGTAAGCGACACCGAACCATGGGGGCAGGTGAAGGAAGCAGA